ATCAGCAGTTATTGAGTTGTTAGCACTGGAAGAAGCATCAGAGCAGGGGTCAATATGATTTTTCTATAAAGCTCCAGAGAAAAAATATTTTAGCCTTTGTAGGCCATAAGGTCTCTTTTGCAAATTCTTGATTCTGCTGCTTAGTGTGAAAGTTGCCCTAAATAATACTTAAATGAATGAATGTGGCTGTGTTCCAATAAAACTTTATTTACAAAACAAAACAAACAAAGAAACAAACAAACAAACAAAACAAACCCACGGGCTGGATTTGGCCTATAGGTACAAAACAAAACAAACAAAGAAACAAACAAACAAAACAAACCCACGGGCTGGAGTTGGCCTATAGTCTGTGGTTTGCCAATCCCTGTATTAGAGCCATAAAGAGGAGTGAAAATGATCCCGTCCTCCATGAAGCTCACAGTCTGTGTGGGAAGGAGAAGTGCCTACTGATGAGGCTGTAAGGCGTCTGGGACAAGTCACGAAGGGCCCTAGACACCATGCTAAGGCATTTTGACTTTATTCTTTGCTAATGGAGAAAATTAAATCTTGCAGGGGCTGCAGGTGGGAGTAGGTTATTTCACTGGCAAGAAGCGAATTGCTTCTTTTTAACATTTATGTGAAACCTGGTTCTGCCAGAGACTGCCCCATCTGTACTCCTCCAACTCTCTGACTGATACTTCCATTATCAAACTCCCCTCCCCTCACATTGTATCAACAGGGCAAAGGTCCCTAATCTGATAGCCCTGAAGCCAGATGTGTTTCAGAATTCAGAATATTTTTAGATTTCAGAAAGATAATACCGTGCAAATTCTAATATTTTGTAATATGCTGATTAAGGTCTGGGGTGGCATCAAACGCATTAACACTTACACTGAGAGTATAACTAATTTTAAGTCAGTTCAGGGTAGGTTTGGGCCCTAAATGAGTTAAGAAAACTCTTTTGGATTTTAGAGCTTGTTGGATTTCAGAATTGCAGATGAAAGACTGTGGACCATATTATTTGTTTTGTTGTGTTTCACCACTAGACTGTGACACCTTCAAAGACAGCCTGAGTCCTCAGTGCCCACACACAGGAGGCATTCAATGAATGTTCTCAAGAGAATGAACAGACAAGAATGGCTGGAGAACAATGTTCAAGGAGGGATTCAGTGGAAGAAGAGGCTGTTGAGGGACTCTGGCAAAGGATGTAGGGAGACCTATCAGGATTCTAGACTTAATCTTGAAGGTGATGAAAAGCCCCATTAAGTTTGTTAGGTAAGTAGTGTGACTCAGCTGTGTATGAGGACTGCAAGTCTTAGACCAGTGTGAGGAAGGTGCTAGGGTAAGCAATTAGGAGGTTCCTGTAATAGTGAGGCAAGAAGTGTCTGTGTATAAGGCAGTGAATGCAAAGCAAGTGATAAATAGGAGAAACTAACCTGGCAACTAATGATGTTAGGGGAGAGGGAGAAGTCAGAGCTGAACCTAACCCCGTGGCATCAGTCTGAGATGGTAGCATACAGTAAAAAGATTCACAGACTCCAGAGCTCAGATGCTTCTGTTTAAATCCCAGAGCTGTCACTGCAATCTTGAGCAAGTTACTTAATCACTCTGTGTCTTAGCTTCCCCTTTAGTACCCTGAGGTTGTGAAAATCAAATACGTATTTTTTAATACACAAAGAACAAGGTTTAGCTCTTTACTATTATTACTCCTTGTAACCAACCATTGTTTCAGAAGGTTGAATTCCCCAAATGGTTCACCAAGTGACTGTCTCCTCAGGAGTAGGATGACCCAAATCTCAGACCTTCCCAAGAAGTGACAAAGCCATGTCAGAAATTTAATAATAAGAGTACGTAATAAATACAATAAATGTATGAAAGAGAGGATCACTTCAGGGGACAAAATTATCATCAGACTCAATGGGACAGGACTTTCTCTGTGGGGTCTTGTAAATATCTATTCCAGTCACGAGGGTTTTTTCTTTCAATCTGTTGCTACTTTGCCATAGTGGTTTTCATTCAGCGTTCTTGCAGCATTGTAGAATGCCAGGAAAACTTTAAGTGCCGGGTCATTCATCTGTAGGGAGAAGGCTATAAGGAGGGCTGCCTGGAAATCCTGTAATTTAGAAATGTTCAAATCTTTGCATCCAAACAGAAAATGGAAATGGTGTCAGGTTTGTGCCAAAAGGAAAGTTGTAATTGCTATGTGCTTCCCTTCCCAGCCCTCCTGGGCAAAGGAGTACAACCAACGAAGCAGGCTTCGGAGCTGTCATCTACAGAACTTTTAGTAGACGCTGCAGCTTACCCTACCAGGCTGTCACCTCCCAGGAATATTACCCAAACACTGCAACACAAATGCTCCTTTTTTGCAAGTGAGGGCTCTGCAGCAAAGTTGGCACCTCGCCTTTCATCTGTCCTGAACTTTGCTGCCAGATTTCAGTGTCCTTGCTAACTTTTTAGCAAACCTTCCTTCAAAAATGTCCACTCTGTTTAACAATGGCTAATAGCTCCCTCCTTCCTCTTGAATCAAATTCAATCTCTTTATCTTGACATTGGAGGATCTCCATGATTAAGCAATGAATTTTGGTCCCCAAAGACCTTCTAATCTCACACAGTCTATCTGTTTATTGCCTCCCCGGGCTGCCATCTTTACTCCTATTCTAAGCTCTCACTTCAGTTTTCACTCTTGCTACCTCCTTCACCTAGAAGATTCTCTTTCGTCCATTTATCCAAACCCTACTACAGCCTTCAAGATATAAATGAACCTTTTCAAGAAGCTCTGGTGCTCTCATTATTCCAGTCCTTACTCATTCCTTTCTGACTAACCGTGCTTAATTTGTCCCCAGTTCATGTCTGCCTTGGGTTTGCTAACTTTTGCATACATATTATTATTATATATACATATTATTTTTATTTACACCAAAACTAGACTGAAAGTGTCTCAAAAGTCAGGATCATTGTTTCTACTCAGTGTCTCCCTCAGTGCTGGTATGCTCTGGGCACATGATAGGTGTACATGGAATGCTGATTGGTTGGTTTCCCAAAAACCACCTTCCACATGAAAAAGAAGGAAACTTGCTCAGCTAGTACTGTATTTCATGTTTTACTTAAAAGTGGAATATAATAGTATTCCCATTAAAATAAGAAATAACCATAAATACTACCATTTAATATTCTACTAGAGATGATAGATAATAAACTAAAACATGAAAAAGAAACAAAACTATACTTATTCATTATTTCCCGAAAGCATGAAAGAACAAGTTATTAGAACGATCAAGAGAGTTTAGCAATGTCCAGATTCAAACTTAAGGTATAAGAATCAATAGGATTCCTAAACACAAGCAATCAATGATTAGAGAGGTATAATAGGGGAGAAAAAAGCCAAAAAAGGCTAATTCTCTGGTACCTGACTCCTCTGTAAAATGGGGTAGTTTGTTGTGAAGATTAAATCAGATACTAGATGTGCAGCTGAGTTCCTGGTACATAGACAATATCGGCTGACCTTTTCTCTCTCCTCCAACTGGCCCATGAGAACCTCAAGGGCCAAGAACGAACATACCTGAGTTGTCTGTGTATCCTGGATGCCTGAGCAGATAGCTCAGTTACATTTGTTGAAAAAATAAGTGTATACTCAAGCCACATTGGTTAACTTTTAATAAATAAACATATGTTCACATGTTCATTATTATGCCTTTATGGCTTCCATCAGGCAGATCAAATGCCTCTGGATTGTGGGAACAAAAAAATCAAAGAAAATCAAAGACCTAGGCCAGAAGGATAAGGATTTTTAGAGCAGGAAGACTCATCACAGAGATCTGATGTTTTCCGACTTTCTTCTTCAAAGCTCCAGGCTCTATGGAGTGATAGGGTCACCATGGGCAGGGGTGTGGGTACTAGAAAGCCAAGCTGAGAACTGGTCTCCAGGCTGAGAAATTGAACATACTAATGGACAATGGCCAGGCCATATATGACAGTGATAACAGAACTCTTATCCCCAACCTCTGCAGCAACTGGTTTGGAAGGTCAAACCATAAGCTCTGAAGCTATCAGCCCACAAAGTTTAGGACTTGGTCAATGACTGATTTGACCAACCAATGACTAATTTTTGCCCCCACTGCCTCCTCTATTTCCAACTCGGGACCAACCGAAAAAAAAAAGAGCCAAAGACATTCTCCAAACCAATTGCTTAAAATGTTTCACTTCTAGTTGACCCGCTTCCATCTTCCTTATGCCAACAATCTCCAATCTGAATGTTCTTGCAGTCTTCTCTTTTTTTACTATAAAGCTTTCCCATTCCTCTGCCTGCCTTTGAGTCTCTGAAACGCTAATGATGGCAGCTGACTTCCTTGCCATATAGCAAGCTCTGAATAAATAGCCTCTGTTCTCATTTCAGTGGTCTTTCCTGCCCACTTATTACATCTCCCTGAATACCTTTCTATGACATATAATTTCAGAGACACAGATTTGAGATAATGCTACGTTTCAGAGGAAAACTATTAGGTTGTTAACACCTGTTATCATCTGCTGTAACTCACCAAAAGGAGGATCAGGAGGCCCCACAGGAAGTGGCATAAGAGGGCAATTTTGATGGGGGAAGGAAGAAGATTGAATCATAAAGTAGAGCCGGAGGCTAACAGAGGTTACAACTGGATCTCAGCCTAATGTGGTTTAAGGGTACCAGATATTAAATTTCAGATGAAGGAGGTCACAGATTATATTTACCGGGTTTGTAAATCTTTCTAAAGTAGCTCTAGTATCTTTACCTCTAGAAAGACAGACAGTGGCCAGGACAATCACCGAATGATGCAAATAGAGATTCCGGTGAATGATTCTGTTATAGCACTTCACCAATGATGTCCCATAGTCCTATTTTAGAGCTGAGATAACTGAGGACAGAGAAATGATGCAACTTGCCTGATGATTCAACAAAGCCACTTTTCTTACTGCAACCACATCGTGAAGTCTTTGATGGACCACAGGGAAGGGGAGGGAAGTGTTACAAGAATGCCATGCTCACTTACTTTAGGATGACACAGCCCGTTCCTGCTGGTGGCGCTATCCAGAACACTTGGATCCGCGTCCTCCTCCGTGGGGTGCTTTCAGTGACCGCAACGGGGCAGTTACTCATAAATTGTGTTTCTTCTTCATCTATGATCTACGGAAAACCAGCAGAAAATAAACACATTAAAATGAGCTTCGCTTTGGGAAGGCTCTTAAGTTTCCGAGTTGACACTTCCTTAATTTTATTTTTAAACCTGTCATTTTGTGTTAGCAGCTCTAGATCCCCAGACACCAGAATAGTGCTTGGCATACAGTTCCAGTCAATGCTTGTTGAATTAACATGAGGGCAAGGATTTGGCACATGTTCTCCTACGCTCTCTGGGACCAGGATCTTGTGTCAGCACTTTGAGGAACAGGCCACTAGGTGATGATCTTGCTCATTTCACTCAGATAAGCTGTGTCCCACTTTAGGGAAGGAAGAGAAGGATGGGAAGAGAAAATCCAAAGCAAACACTCTCTATATAGCTAGATTTTGTAATTCGACTACAATTTTAGAACTTGAAATTAAAACGTTAGGAAAAAAAAAAAGCACCCTTTTGGAGGAAGTATACCAAAGTACATAAGTCCCCTAGCTTCATAGCACTGCTTACTTGTGCAATCTCTACTTTCTTAATTTGTGCATTAAATTAGGCTCTCCCAAGTTACCCATAAAGGTTTCCTATGACATTGCAAAAGAGCTGGCAGCCATTCCCCAAAACTGCTTTCAGCATTTTTCTTGCTTGCTTCTGGGTCTGCTGCCAGTACTTGCCTATCTATCTAGTAGAACTATAGACTATTAGACCTAGAACGATCTTTTGGGGGAAATCATCTAAATCCTACTGGTCTTAAGTGCCAATTCGTTGATTGGTAGTAGCTATGTAGTGTTAATGACATTAAGAGATACCACTTATTGAGTGTTTAGTACATCCCAGACACCAAAGTAAGTGCTTTTTTTCTGAATTACTCATTTGATCTTCAAATATAATCTGATGAGATCATTGTACCCATAATTGTATTTATTTTACTTTTAAAAATTCCTCTTCCTTTTAGCACAGCAGGTAAAAAAAATTAAATCACTTAAACTCCTTAGTTCATCATATATTTTCATCACAGGACAAAGTAAAGGCAATCTATTTCCTTCTGTTTATCTCTATTTTCTTTACCTTACTCCCATTTCCCTCCTTTATTTATCAACTACAACTGGATCGTGTGTGTGTGTGCGTGTGTGTGTGTGTGTGAGAGAGAGAGAGAGAGAGAGAGAGAAGTTATATAGAATTGTTTTGTGAGTGTTTTAATGTTTCTTTCGCTTAACCTTATGCTTTTGGAATTTGTCAATGTTATTACATGTGAATGTAATTCATTGATTCTTACTGTTGTCTAGTATTCCACTGCATGTTTAGACCGCGTTTTACATACCCACTCTCTCAGTGAGGAGCACTTGGCTCTCTGCCTCCATAAACATTGCTGCAATGAAGATTCTCATGCTGCTCTACTTGCGGACCCATGTGAGAGTTTCTCAGCAATATAAATCATGTAGTGGGATTGCTGGGTTGTTGGGTTGTGGATATAACCATATTAATTTCACTAAATACTTCCAGATTGTTTTACAGAATGGAGATACCTCCTTTTATTCTATTAGCTATACACAAATGTTCCCTTTTCCCCATATCTTCACCAGTACTGTGATTGCTAAACTTTCTAATAGTTTTCAATCTGATAGATGGAAAGTAGTATCTTGTTTTAATTGAATACTAATGAATTCAAGCATCTCTTAACGAATTTATCAGGTTTCTCCTTCTGTGAATTGCCTACTCAGAATCTTTGCCAGTGGATTTTCCTATCCTTTTCTTGCTGATTTGTAGGACTTTCTAGATAAAAATTTCTCAACATTAACAAATATCTTTCTGTCACTCACAGATTCATTTTATCTTTAGAATCTTTCATTTAACAGAAATAACTTCCATCTAGTCAAATTCATCAATATCTCTCCTCTGGCTTGCAATTTTGTGGTCTTGTCTTAAAAATTGAGATCACGAAGATATTCTCAATATTTATTCCCATTAGCTTTATAATTATACCTTTCACATTTAGGCCTTCAATCTATTTGAAATTTATTTTCTAATATTATAGAGTAGGGATCCAACAGAATTTTCTGCATACTGTGAGCTACTTTTAAAAATTAATAAGCTTTATTTTTTTAGAGCAATTTTAGTTTTACAACAAATTTGAGCAGAGTTATGAGTTTCCACATTCTCCCTGTGCCCACACGTGCACAACCTCCTTTGCTATCAACATCCTGCACCAGAGTGGTATATTCATTACAATTAATGAACCTATATTGACATATCATTATCACCCAACCTCCATACTTTGCACTAGGGCTCACTCTTGGTGGTGTATATTCTATGGGTTTTGATAAATGTATAATGACATGTACCTACCATTGTACATTATAGTGTTGTACTGAAGGGTTTTACTGCCTTAGAAATCCTTTGTACTCTACCTATTCATCCCTCCCTCCCCCAACTCCTGGCAACTGTTACTCTTTTAATATAATCACTTATTAGTTCCAGGAGTTTTGGTCAATTTTTTTTCAGATTTTTCTATGTAGACAATCATGCCATCTGTGAACAAAAACCCTTTTATTTCTTCCTTCCCAATCTGTACACTCTTTATTTCCTTTTCTTATATTGGATTAGCTAGGACTTCCAGCATGATGTTGAAAAGTAGTGGTGAGAAGAGACATCTTTGCCTGGTTCATGATCTTAACAGGAAAGCTTCAAATTTCTTATCAGTAGGTATGATACTAGCTATAGGTTATCTTTGTAGATGTTTTTTATCAGGTTGAGAACATTCCTCTTTATTCCTAGTTTGCCGAGAGTTTTTATCATGAATGGGTATTAGATTTTTGTCAAATGTTTTTTCTGCATCAATTCATATAATCATGTGATTTTTATTCTTTAGCCTGTTAATGTGATGGATTACATTTATTGACTTTTGAATGTTGATCCAGCCTTGCATACCTGGGATAAATCCCAGGTTGTGGTGTATAATTCTTCCTATATATTACTGGATTCAATTTGTTAATGTTTTGTTGAGAATTTTTATATCTATGTTCATGAGAGATATTGCAGTTTTCTTGCAATGTCTTTGTCTGGTTTTAGTGTTAGGGTGATGATGGCTTCATAAAATGAGGTAGAAAGTAGAAGATTGGTATAATTTCTTCCTTAAATGTTTGATACAATTCTCTACTTAACCAATCTGGGCCTGGTGCTTTCTGTTTTGGAAGGTTATTAATTATTGATTCAGTTTCTTTGTTACACATATGCCTATTCAGATCGTCTATATCTTTTTGTGTGAGTTTTGGAAGATTGTGTCTTTCAAGAAATTGTACTGTTTCGTCTAGGTTATCAAACATGTGGATATATGGTTGTTCGTAATACTTCTTATTTTTTTAATGTTCTTAGAATTACTTCTTTCATTTCTGATATTAGTAATTTGTGTTTTCTCTCTCTTTTTTTAGTCTGATTAGAGGCTTATTGATGTTATAGATCTTTTTGAGTCAGTTTTTTATTTTGTTGATTTTCTCTATTGATTTCTTGTTTTCAATTTCATTGATTTCTGCTCTATTTTTAAATTTCTTTTCTTCTGCTTACTTTGAATGTAATTTGATTTTCTTTTCCTAGTTTCCTAAAGTGGAAGCTTAGATTATCGATTTTAGATCTTTCCTCTATCGTAATATATACATTCAATTATATACATTTTCCTCCAAGCACTGCTTTTGCTGCATCCCATAAATTTTAATAAGTTCTATTTTCATTTTCATTTAGTTCAATATGTTTTAAAATTTAATTTGAAGTCTCTTCATTGAACCATGTTTTAGTTAGAAGTGTGTTGCTTAATCTCCAAGTATTTGAGGATTTTCCAGCTTTCTTTCTGTTTTGATTTCTAGTTTAATTCCATGGCGGTTTGATAGCAGTCATTCTATGATTTTATTATTTTAAACTTGTTAATATGTGTTTTATGGCCCAGAATGTGGTCTATCTTGGTGAATGTCCCATGTAAGCTTGAGAAGAGTATGTATTCTGCTGTTGTTGGATGAAATAGTCTACAGATGTTAATTATTTCCAGTTTATTGATAGTGTGGTTGAGTTCAACTGTGTCCTTACTGATTTTCTGATGGCCGAACCTGTCCATTTCTGATAGAGGGGTGTTGAAGTCTGCAACTATTATAATGGTTTCAACTATTTCTCCTTGCAGGTCTTTCAATTTTCACCACACACATTTTGACACTATGTTGTTAGGCACAAACATACTAAGAATGGTTATATTTTCTTTGATATTAACCCTCTTAGGTGATGCTCCTCTTTATTCCTGATAAATTTTCTTGTTCTAGAGGCTGCTGTGTCTGAAATTAATATTGCTATTCCTGTTTTCTTTTGATTAGTGTTAGCAATATATTTCTCCATCATTTTACTTTGAATCTATGTGTCTTTATATTTAAAGTGAGTTTCTCGTGCTGTTTAAAAGCAACACGGAGTTGGGCTTTGTTTTTTCATTCACTTTGAAAATCTGTCTTTTAATTGGTATTTTTAGATTATTGACATTTAAGACGATTACTGATATAGTTAGATTAATATTTGCCATATTTGCTACTATTTTCTATTTGTTGCCCTTGTTCTTTTTTTCAATTTTTGTCTTCTATGTTTTCTGACTTTTGTGATTTTAATTAAGCATTTTGTATGATTTTATTGTCTCTCCTTTCTTAGCATATTGGTTACACTTTTTTTTTTTAGTGGTTGCCTTAGAATTTGCCCTAGAGTATGCATTTACAACTAACTCAAGTTTACTTTCAAATAACACTATACTGCTTCACAAATAGTGCAAAAACCTTATAAGAACAAAATATGCCTAATTCCTCCCTCCTGTCCCTTGTATCATTGTTGTTATTTATTTCACTTACACATAAGCATATATAAGTATCTATATATTGCTATAAGTATGTAAAATTGAATACACTGTTATTATTATTTTGAGCAAACTGTTATATGTTAAGATCAATTAAGAATAAAACCAAAAAGTCTTCATTTTACCTTCATTTATTCTTTTTCTGAT